GGTACATGTCTGACAATCATTATATGTTAAAATAGTACATCATCAGCATATTTAATGCTGAATGTCGTAAATGAACTGATTGACGTAAACAACCAGCCTACAACACAGTAGCATACTTAAGAGAATAATTAAAAAAAAAAAAGCACAGCTATAAAACTGACGAACTTGCTACAAAGTGTAGCTAGTTTAATGTTGAGTTTTTTAAAATTAACTGGTGGAAGTAAACAACCAGCCTACTACACAGTTGTATGCATTAGAGAAAAAAAAAATCACAATAATAAGAGTGATGAACTTGCTACATAATGTAGAAGCATAAGAAAATTTATCTAGGAAGAACCCTCTAACCTCGAATTGAGATTTTTCCTGCTTTAACATCTCCGTGATATCGGAAAATTTCGTACTTGATCCCTGAATGTTGAGAGTTACACCAATGTATCGAGTTTCTAAATCCTTCAAAGAATTTTCTATCTCCAAGAACAATTTAGTCCCTTTCACGTGCACCTTAGAGAGGGAATAAAGTTCAGTCAAAATTGATGCTTATATAATCAGCCAGAAAGTAATAAAACAGAAATCATTTTTACGAAGGTACTTACCTTCTGAAAATCTTCTTTTAGAAACTCTCCTCTCACTGAAGAGTTAAAGTCCAACATCTGATGTGGCAGAGACACCGAATAAGTAGCAACTTGTGAGAATTTGAACACTGCAACCATTGGGCCAGATCTGTATGTTGACAAACAGAAGGCAAGAATATAATAAAATACTTATTTTCCAAAAAATACACCAAAATCAGGGACAACAAACTAATAGAAACATGGCGTGGCAAATACAGTGTTCCCATAAAGAAGAAAAAAGATGCTGTTCAAAAAGATTAGTAGTTAGGAATTGACCATACCCAAAGAAGTAGAGGAAATCCTTATGAAAAGAATGACCACAGCTGGATGGACTATTGAATGACGAGTGGTTGGAAAAAGTGAGCTCCAAAAACTTTCCAAATGATAAACTACGAGCATCAGTGGATATCAAAACCCTTTTTGTGGATTTTGAGCTTCCATTCTGAAATTTACATTGACCACAGCGACTCCACATCCAAAGCTTCCCTTCAGTTTCACCAGGCAGACATTTTCCATCAGGAAGACGTCTAACTTGAATACTTAATTGCTTATTGTGATGTGCATAATAGAAAAAATGACCCTCTGGGGGTTTACCACAAGTCTTGCACTGGAGTCCCTGTGTAGAAGAAAAATAAAATTGCAACAAGATCTATGAATAAATAAAACAAGGACCCAAACTGATATATCAAAAATCAATAAAAAAATAGTGAAAATAATCTATGAAAAAACAATTATTTCCCCCCAGGCCTGAGGGCTAGTTTAGTTCACTGAAAGTTTTGAATTCTGTTAATCAAAAGCAAAGCACCCTCAAGTACCCCTGACCAGATGAGTACTATTTTCGGGTCAAGAAATTATGATTTCCCGTAGTTTCACAAAAATAATTCAAAGACACTTTTCTTGGCAGCACTATTCTAAAGACACAAAGGAAGAAAACTGACAACTTCTGAATATATTTCTAAAGCAGATTGGGGTATCGACCACTTCTCAACCTGCTAGGGTATAATAAAAAATAAAATAAAACTAGAACAGAAATTTTGTTCAGTGTTGAAATTTCTTTTAGCTTCTTTTAGGAGGCTACATAATCAAGCTTTTAGATACTAATTAGCATTGATTCATCATTTAAAATTTCAAGATTCAAAGGTAGCGACAGCTTTATATAATCCAAAACTCAAGAACATTGATTCTGATTTTGTTAGAACAGCACTCCTTTCAAGCAATTTTGAATTCAAAAATATTTCATTGCAACTTACAAACTCAGCATCAGCAAATAAAATTGGTGTGAATATAGGGTAAAATGCGTAATGCGTTTGATATACTCAGTACACATTTCTTTCTCGTAGTTTCACATACCTGCTTGAGTAAATTTTCCCACAAAAACTTTCCAAGAGGATCATCAAAATTCCGGTAGAACTTAATATGAGAAAAATGACTTTGCTCACAAACAGTTCCACTTGAAGCATTCCGTTTTGACATCAGAACCAAAATACTTTCAGAATCCAATACTGAGCTGATCTCATTCTTACTATTCATTTGGTCTTCAACATTATCACTATGGTCTAGTGTGTCCAAAGATTCTACAGAACCTGATGGCAGATGCGACTCCTCATTACTGACCAAATTTTGTTCTTCAGATCTTACCATTGGCATGGAACCATTATGATCCATTAACTCAGCAGAACTAGATTTTTTCACCTCATTTTTTAAATGATCTTCATGATTCCTTCCGTCGAACCCAAGCTGACCGGCAGAAGTAGAATTTTTCACCTCATCTTCAACATGATCTTCGTGATTTCTTCCATTAAACCCAAGCTGACTGGACATACTTTGAAAAGAATCAGAGAAAAGCGGAAAACTATCATCCATAATTTTTTAAAGAGATTCTGACAGAGATAATCCCGGAAATGTTGCTGGGCTATATGGCTCAAATGAGAATGAAGAACTGCCTTCTGACAGTGAGATTAGGTTGCGAGGTCCTGTTTCATCGAATCCATCAGCATTACTTTCCTGGGAAAATACAGCTGTCTTATCTGTATCAATTGACAGTAATTGTTGGTGGTTAAGTGCTAGGTCCACTATGTTGTTCAGGGGAATAGTTGAGAACATTGCCCTCTGATCTAGAAGGAAAGAAGTCTCGAGCATTAAATGATATGCCATGATAACTGCACACCGGACAACGCATTTAATCCTTTTCAGTTCATTGCCATTAGCTCCCATCAGCAAAATCTGTACAATACCAGTTTTGTACTTTTATTCCACCAGAACTCAAAAGTAAAATGCTATCTTAGAAAATTAAGAATGTTGTAATTTGATTATGAAATTCTGATGTGCAGGTAGTCCAGAAAGCAATGTGCAGGCGATCAACCTTTCTGATAAAGACAGAAACTTGCTCAAAAGGGAAAGATAGAAAAAATATATATTTTGCTAAGCTTAAAAAGTTAACATATAAGCCCCAGTTTTAGCCCCATTCTCTAAAAACTCATTTTTCTCTGAACTCATTTTCAATCACATGTTCTTTCATAAAATCATTTTGCAAACTTTCCCTCACTTTTTAACTACACATTCTTCAAAAATATCACAATTAAAAAATTTATTTTTTTAAAAAATGGGGCTCAAACAAAGGCTAAATAAATTTTAGAATTAATAATTTATTTTATCGACTGAAGAAAAATAAGAAAAAAATTAACATATTGGAACAAAAAGTTACTTAGAAGTAACTATTCCTTTTTATGCATAGCCAAAAATATTATTTCTTGTATACAATATGGGCATGCCACTTTTCATGGTTTGACATCGTTAGTGTTCCAAAGGCCTGCCTAGGCACGAGGCCAGAGAAAAGCCCCACCTAACGCCTAGAAGAGAAAAAATTGCCAACTCTAAGTTGACTGCCAAGGCTCGCACCTTTATGTTGGGCAGGTGGTAATTTTTTGCTTTAAAGTCCAGCCCAACTAAATACTCATCCATAGATAAACATAAAAGGAAAATAAGTCCAACAAAAAGTCCATCCTAGCCCAAACCCAGTCCACAAACAAAGCAATGAAGCATTATTACTTTGGAATATTTATGATTTTGAGAATTATGCTTTTGTTGAAAACTAGAAAAATACGTAGAAATTCCTATAAATGTTCAAGGTACGCGTTATTTTATTTATTTATTGGTCTAGAATAATTAAAATAATATTAAAAATAGGAAAACGTCTTACTACACCTAGGCATGCATAGTTCGTAAGACCTGAGACTTGACCTCCACGCTTTGCAACACCTTATGCCTTTTAACCTTTATTCCAAGGGAATGACAGATATTTCAACTTACAATATCATCCTTTTTCGTTTACTTCAATACGCTTCCTAAAAGGAATCATCTTTCATGGATATCACAACTAATGTAACCTCTAGATAAAATTTCCAGTTAAAGAAGTATACATGCAAGGGAAGAAAGACTCACGGTACATCCAAGACGAGAGGGACAGCCCTCAAGAAACATTAATGTTTTGGTCGGTTTTTTCCCACTTTCGGTTAAAACATTGTGTTCTTCTACGAACTTTTCAATCTGAAAGGAATCGCACGGCCTAAGCTGTTGGCCACTAGCAAAATCTGATGACAAGATGGATGAACCAGTACAACGAGCAACTCTCTCCAGACGATGGAGCTTCATATCAAAGACTAATGTCATTCCTTTTGCAAGAATGGATTCTTGTATGCCACGAGAAACTGATTTCTCAACCAAAATCACACTTGGATTGTAAATTTCTATCCTCTCAACAATAGATTTTAGACTATTCTTCTCCTGTTAATTTATTTATGATTAGAAGAGAAAAATGCATAATATAGAAGAGATAAATGCTTCACAAGTTTTACAGAACTGTAATATTTCCGTGTACCTGTTGCATTGATTCAAATGATGATAATCCACTAGAAGAGAGATCAAGTGAACCATTGATCAACATCAATTTTGGGTTCTTATACTTTGTTGGCATGTGTTTGTGGGCAGCATGCTTTTTGAAGACACACCCCTTGATTAATCGACTACAAAAAAATTTTAAAAAAAATTAAGATTATAAAATATAGATTCAACAACAGATGATTGGCATCAATAGAATCAAGTGGTTACTAAATTCACAAGAACCAATGTGACTCTACATTGAAGACTCGTTAGCTAGTATTATTTAACATTTAAGACAGATACAATGCAGAAAGATTCAACTAAAGAAATATTTTTACAAAAATTTAAAACTCGATGTATATGGTATGAAATTTCTACAAAAAAATTAAAATATCCATTAATACTCCAGAAGAGCAATTACATTGCAATTTTTTTATGTTCAGGATAAAAAATCTATTGTTGCATAAGAAAACTCCATGTGCCTGATGTAACAAATGCACAAATTAAAGGTGCCATAATATCCACCTCATAGCCAATTGGCATGTAATCAAAGTCTACTCAGGCTCACTTATTTGTACGGAAGGTCATATTTATTCCTTATGGGATTATGTTACCTATAAAAGGATCGTTGAACATTTCAAAAACAAGCAAATACATGCTAACATACTGGTGTCTCATTAAACCCTTAAATAAAACATAATCTGATTTAACAAGTAAAAAACCAGAAAGTTGCACAAATAAAGAAGGAAAACATTGGAGAAAACATTTGGTGCTCATTACCTTTGGCTGCGGGAACCGGTTGCAATACATTTGATTTTGACGTATCCATCAGGATCCATTGCCTTACCCTCATTTGCAAGAGGCTTCACAAAAGCAGCAGCCTCCCATGATAAAGAAGTCACTATACCCACCCAATTTTCTCCATCATTTCCAGAAGAGGCAACACCGACAGACTTAATTAGTTGACCGACAAGGGCCTTGAACTTCCCATTCATAACCTCGTCCATTGCTTTACGCTTTTCCTCTTTGAACTTGTAGCTCCCGCTGCCTCCTTCTCCAAAACAGCTTAAAGAACTCGACTTAGCCCACCTCACACCATCCTCCCCACATTCGTCATCATCGTCATCATAATTTGCTACCCTATCTATGATATCATCTTCTTGATCTTCTGGTTCTGGTGGAAGCCAAAATTGACCATCCATTTCATCCGATATCCCAGTTTCTTCGTCAATATGCAAACCAACTCTTTCCACGTTATTACCTCGTCCAATCTGAACTTCGCCACTTCCTACAGTTTCTACACCAGTCTGATGAAAACCGACTGATGAGTTTGAATAATCCAGATGCCCTTTTGAACTAGATACAGAATCTTCTTGACTGCTCTCTGTGCTGCTGTCTTCTACATAGCCCCTGATAGAGAACAGAAACAAAACATAGAAAATATCGAAATAAGTTGAAAGTTTGTGGATTCTTTCAGTATTCAACTAAAGTTATCTTCTCTGGTAGTCCTCATAAAATTACGCATTTGAGAGGACAAGGAATTGCTTACCGGCCATAAAAGTTTGCATCTACTGAAATGCCACCTGGAAAATAAGAGTACAAGTGAAGGAAGGGAGAAAACAACATAGCACGAAGAAGGAAGAAATATAAAGAGCGATTGTTTACTGCAGTTTGAGATTGAACTGTCACTGCTTATTAATGATGCAGTGGGACTGACAGATGGCGTTGCACCAGAACTGGCACTCTCTCGATTGACAGGCTGTAAATCTTTATTTACACCACAAAACTCACACGACTGGACAGAGGCACCGCCATTTGGTATTATACGATGCTCATTCTCGTGATTCATACCGTTACTTGACATCGTGAAATGTGCACCACAGTAATGGCACATATTACACCTGATCCAGAACCGTTCCACTCTGCATGTTCAATCAAGGCAAATTCAAAATTTTGAAATACTTCAGCAAAACCTCGGAAGTGTCCCACCAAATAATAGTGTAAAAACAAATTAAATCAAAAAGTACCAACAATACCAATATAAAGAGCATGTTTGGCTAGGATTAAAATCCAATTAAAATTGAAAATATAGCTATTATTGAGTTCCACTCGTCTAATAAAAGTCAACAATAACGGCTAGTTTTTCAATTTTAATCCAATTTTAATCCCTACCGAACACGCCCAAATAGTGAAACTGAAAACAGAAACAATAATGATGGTGACTAAACATACAAAAAGTATTCATTACAAACACAACATTCCAAACTCAACGGATAACGGAATTTTAACCCGATAGATACCAATTTAAAGGTAAACCATATGAATAGATTTCAAGAACATAATAAAACTGATAAGTACACGGATAGCTGTTAAACAAAGAAAACCATTATTCTGACCAAATTAACAAAAACACGAAGAAACAAACGCAATATTCGCCCATGCTATTCTACCACAATCATTCCAACCCTCCAGAAGGAATTAAATTACTGGGGTACTAACAAAAAGAAATGATAAAACAAAATAATGAATCAGAGAGAAAAAATTACCCAACAAACTTCAGATCAGGACGGGCCTAATCTTTCAAGTTCAACCTATCCAATTTCAAATTTAATCAAGAAAAGAATCACACTTGTAACCAATCCTGATTGACCTTTGAATGAATGACTCAAAATTGAACAGTTCAAGATTTCAAATGCAACCCAAAAACCAAGAATATAAAGACAGTTTGTCGGTTGACTCTTGAGTCAATACAGCATCACAAAACATACAATCCCATACTTGAAATATGTTAAAGAACATAAATTTATCCAAAATCCGATCACATGAATCAGCTTGCAGATAACACCATTTACTATCGTAGAGTTTGAAACAACAATAATTAATAAGGTAAAAGAACAAAAAAAGATTTAAATAACTTACTGTTAAAGCAACCCAATTAATAAATAATTATGACCTTTAAATCCTTCAAAAGAATATTATTAACTGCATAAACCAATTTCATTTGCCCGAAGATATTTCTTTCTTTAGGAAGCAGGGATTTTAAAATCTTGGACATTCAAGAACTGAAGAGAGAGAAAAAGGAGGAGAGAGAAAGTATTAACGAATGAATTCGAGACGAGGGGGGAGAGAGATGAAGAATGAAGTGAAAAAAAGTACAGTTATGGAGGAGAGAAGAAATGAGAAGGAAGCTGAAAATTGTCCCCAAGTGGACCCTACGCTCCTTTTTTCTACTTTTTGATTGACGGCGAAAATTTTCACTTTTTGATTGATATATTGGTCCTCCAAGTTTTAAAAAGAACAAGTTGGTCTTCGACCTTTCATTATTGCCGCACGAAAATTTCAAAGGTCGAAACTATCTAGAATTCATGCAGCATACTCTTATTCAATTTTACATCCTAAACTCTAACCCGTTATCAGGAATTCTATTAAATAGTAAGATAACTTATCCCGTTATCAGGAATTCTATTAAATCTTCTTAAGGCGCAACTTTTATTGATTTTGAGAAATTTAAAGTAAGATAACTAGAGATTTCAAAATGTTCTAAAGTTTAAACAATCGTGCAATCATGATGAAAAGTTGAAGATTAATTTGCTCGTTTTTAAAACTTTCATGTCCAAAGCAAGATTTTGTTTCACAATTTTTGTTGGTATCAAACCATATGAAGTACGACGTATCTTGCTCGTTAGAATCATACAACAACTTAATGAAGATTTGAACAATTCCGTCATTAATTGTAGAATTATAATTAAAGATTTAGAACTTTTTACTTTTGTTTTTAAATTTTTTAAAGCAAATTGTTGCTTCTCAATTTTGATTGGCGTCGTTAAATTTGAAGGAAGACATTTTCACAAGTAAGTAAATGACATCCTAATGAAGATTAATTGTTCCATCAATCAAGACTCATCGTGAAAATTTAATGAAAGTTTAAGGATTAATTTTCTCTTTTTTAAAAGTTGCGTACCAAATGTCTACTATAACAATATGTGTGCAATCTTTCGTGTCTACTATAGTCTCATATGGATGATTTTTATTGCATGAAAAGTCAGATTTAAATTCTTTGGGTGCAAATGCAAGAAAATAATAAATTACATTTTAAAATTTGAATTCATACACTTGGCCCTGTCTCTACATATGGATATCCCATTTGCTTACATGTAATAAATGACTCCGATTTTATTGGTTTGTACCAGATTTCTCAATTAATGTCATATGAGTAATGTTATGAATAATTCTCCAAGTAGAGGAAATATTACCAGATTTTTTACAGAAATTTGAATTGGAAAATCATGTCAGTGTATTTATTTTTTTTCTGTACTGGGAATGTTACTCATTTCCAGTAGGGATGAAAACACAATTTAGGTGGTTTTAAATGATAGGTTAAATAAAATGTGAAATAAAATGACTTATTTAACTTTACCTATCATTTTATACCATATTAACGCGCACATAAACTGTGTTTTCATCCTCAGTAAAAATGAATAGCATTACTCATGCCATGTACTTTCCCGCCATCCCAAAAAAAATTGAAAAAACGAAAAAATGAAAAAAAAAAAAAAAATCAAGATATTGGGACTATAGAATTCCAAATCAAATACTTATTGTTGCTGGAGATGTTAAACATTCTTAAATGGTTAGCTTTGCAAATTTTTTCCGAGAACTGCCTAAACTGAGATCGATGATTTTCGCTTTAAGATGAGAAATTAGTAGAACAAATAAACCCAATTTGGTTCATATCTGAGGTCGAGGAAAAAATGACCAACACTATTTAATTTATATGCATAAAAGTATAGTACACGATACGATTTTTTCTATTATTGTATCTTTAATAGATAATATTAGATTGTATCGTATGAGCCTTGCTATGGGTACATCACCCCTTACACAAGGGGTGACATAATGCACAAGTGGCCCTTCCTCATTGGAGGGGCGCCTCGACCCCACAAGTAGCACAATTATGTATCGTATTGTACGATAAACAAAATTTCTACTTAATTTTTACTTAATATTGTCAGATAAAGTCGAATTTACTTTAATAGTGGTTGTCACTACTCATCTTAGGTATGCTTTCTAAATTATGATTTTATCCAAAATTAAATTCGGTTTCATGTCCTATCAATGCCAACTTTTGTCTTTAACTTAAATATATTTCCAGTCCCCACTATATCAATAAAATTTGGATAATGCTAACGTACACCATACCGACATTTTATAGGGTTGGTCAATTTTTGCAGAGCCGCCCGAACCAAATGTAGTCTGGTTTGTCAAAGATTTTGAAGGACAAATGGCAATTATTATGCATTTGTTTCAAAAAATGAAGTGGAGAATAAGAATATTCAAAAAAAAGGATTATGGTAGGAATTGAAAAAAAAAAAAGAATAATATGTTCAAACAATTTAATTTAATTTTTTTTTTTTGAATTCTTCTCCTTTTTATATTGACTTTTTGTCTAAAAGAATTTTTCTAGAGAATCTAGTAAAGGTTTGTTGAAAGAATAATAAAACCTTCTAGAGTAAATTTGGATAATGTAGAAAATGTTTAACTAATTAATTTTTATTTCTCTCGTACTCGATGTTCGATGACAATCTTTCCATTTCTTTCGCTCTGAGTCTTCAACTCGAGCTTCCGACTTTAGTCTTCTCCAAATATTGTGTTATATTGTTCTTGTCGCTGATCAACTAAAAATCATTCAGATAATTGCATCGATTATCACGATAAAGGTTTTAAAAGGGTATCGAGCAATGAGTCTAGAAAATAAGTTGACGAAATGATTATGTATTGTGTTTCTAATAAGTTTTTGAGGACTTAAACTTTTATTTGAGTGTTATTAACACGTGAATTCTTGCATTGTCCTAACGTAAATTCGAAAGTAATGACTACGAAACTTCAATTAATTAGTTTAAATTTAAATTGCTATCTTGTTCAAAATGATTTAAAACAACCCATTGTGATTTCGAACTTGGACATCCCACCTAATTCTAAAAGTCTAACGTAATACCCCATGCCTACGTTGACTTGAACATATGTTAATTCAATTTGTTTGACAATCGGGTTAGATCTTGGTGGACATATGGGTCGGTTGATGAGACCCATTTATTAGACTCAAACTTGGCTACAATTTTCATCGCAAGTTATAATAAATTTCTAACCTTATTGCCCCATTAATTAATCGCTCAATAAAGTCTTAACATATCACTACAAATTCTTAAGAAACTTCTCAAATATCACGACTCTATTGTCGAGTATTACCTCCATAATCTATTTTTTGATTTGATATTCCAACAGTATAAAAATTGTCTACGAATACGTATTGAAAATTCAAAATTTTGAATATATTTGAAAAGAAAACAACAAATCGATGGAAATGGTTCAATATCACGCTTTTATTCCTTGGTTCCAATTAAATGACAATGACAAAAAAGATTAAGAACCCTAAACACAATTAAATGGTGATGCAACTATAATTATTTAATATTTTTTATTCCAAAACCCCGTTAAGTTGAAATGAAATGACAAATTCGCCCTCAATAATAATAAATAAATATAAAAAGGAAAAAAGGGTGAGAGGAGTTCTTCATTAGGGTTTCTTAATGTCAACTGCCTTATCCAGTGGAGATGAGATTTAAGTGCAATTTGCATATAAAGAAACACTATTGCCAAATCTTGACCATGTCACTTGAGCTTTAGAAAATTGCATCAGCCAATTTTATTTTATTTTTTTCTACTAAATATTACACAAAAGTCTTCCATATTAATTGATCAAACCAGATTTTCCAATAAGTGGAAAAAAAGTGAGAATTAAGTAGATTTGATTGGTCTCTTTTTATTGGGAGAATGCTTATTTCAACTTAAAAGTGATTTAATTTC